GAGACTGTGAGTTCGCGGTGTCTTTCTTTCTTTTTTGAACCCGTAGTTCGCGAGACACTCTTTTAATGACTGCTTTTTTTTGTTTCAAGAGCAGTATTCACTGGAACGGGGTTCCAATACATATATTTTTTTTTGTACACACATATATGTTCTATACTTTTTTTTTAATACACCCCTTTTTTTAAACTAGAACTCAATCTAAAACACAAAAGGAACCGAGTAACACGGATTTAAGACAATTTATGACCTTTTAAGTAAAAGTATCCGAAGATAATTGAGATTTTTGGAACAACTTACAATCGTCTAAAAAACGTAAAAATTTCATTGTTTTGAAGAAAAATAACAGTGATTACAGATAAATTGGACTAAAGTCTAAACAAGTGAACAGTAAAATTTAAACTTTAGATAGTAATTCGTAAGATAATTTCGGATTACGCAGGGTCAACACATGCGTCCAAAATGCTTAGTGGTAAAACGAGATATATGAAGTTAAAAAGGGTTAAGAAAATAAGACTACACATTTGGAAAACTTAATATTTATTATTAAGATTAAACAATTTTTCTGAATAGTTTAAACAATGTACACCTAAAAATACTTACCTTAATCCTAGAAACAAGTCAATCCATCGATGTCCTAAAAATAAAGGAGGGATTAAAAAATCGTATCAGAGATCGCATACTTACTTGCAATGGCTGTACCTAGAACACCTCCTGGATTGAAGGGGAGAGTTGAAGGAGCCGAGTCAGATATTGAGTTGGTCCGTACTAAGAAGGTCCTTAAAACAAAAACCAAAACAGCGAGTCTTCTCGAAAAATATTCTGAGACTGTGACTGGTCCGGAAACGAGAAGCATGACCAGCAAACGAACTGGGACAATTCTCAGAACGCCTCCGAGCGTAATTAGTGAGTCCCCAGAAGTTGTGGAATCCGATCAGAACAAGTCGAGTAAACAATACTCGGTCCAGATGATGCAAGATTTGATGATTAAATTACAAACGCAAGTATCTCTGTTGACGAGTAGGCTTGATCAGAAGGTCGATATGAAACAAAAGGGTGCTGAAAAACATAAAAAAGAGGGGAAAAACGAAACTATCCTTAGCAAAAAAAATAGTAACAGACCGAATTGGGAATCAACAAAATGGCGCTAGTCATGATCCGAACAGCCACCAAATAGTACCGTATGGACAATTTCCGTTCAGATTACTGCAAGAAGGTGGATGGTTAATCCCTTCTAAGATTTAAGATTTAACGGGAAAGATACGGGAATGAATCCGGTTACGTGTTGTGCGGCAATTTTAGAATAAAATAAAAGTTAGGTAAAGTGAGGCCATTGAGCAATGTAATGAGACATCACTGTCATTGCTCAATGACCTAGTTAGGTTAGGTTGCGCGGAAGCAGCAGTTCTAGTAAGAACTGCTGGTTGTCACAGGGTACAACACATCGCCGCATTGTCCAAAGTGCAACGCAGTATGTGTCGACACCGGCACCGGTAACTAGCACGGCAGTTGCTAGGACCGGTGGGCCTGCTGAATCGGCGCAATCGATCTACTATAAATCGATTGCGTGAATGAAGCAGGGGAGAGATCGTGATCAAACTGCTAGCTCACTGTGTGGCTCCGCAAGCCGGGAAGTTTACCGCAGTGAGGAACAGCCGTGTAAGGAACGAAAGGAACGTAAGGAACATTGTAACTGGAGCAATAAAGATAATAGTATAAGTTCAAGCATAGAACTTATTCTTCTATTACCTAACTTCCTCAGCATCCAACAAATTTTGGTGGCAGCGGTGGGATCTCTCATTTCATGTGTCAAGGACAAGACTCTGCAGGAGATTCCGGTTGGATTAAAGAAACGGACATTGGGTGAGAAAGAAAAAAAAGGAACGAGAACGCGAATGATAAGTTATCTGACACCTTTTTTCAAAATGTCTTAAAGACGCCTTAGGTTGTCTGACTTTACATTTACCGACTTCCGCGGTAAGTTATCTTCGGTCTTATTAAACTTTGGTTGTTGTTTTTGCTCGATCTTCAACACAATGTTTTATCGTATCTAAACCAATCCAATTAGACAAATTAAAAGAAACCACTTGTTACTATCAAGTCGGATTTATCGTCCTGTCACGGTCGCCACTTCAAAACTTTGATTTTTTGTATCAATCATTGATGAACGCCCGATTATTTAACGTTTACCGAGTTGTACCAGTACTTCGTTTCCAAAAATCAGGATCTTTGTTAATTTGCATCAAATTGTTCTTGATTTAGAATACGCGCCTCCCCCCCGAATGGGTTCCCACCTTGTAGTAGCTCCGAGGCGGGGGCTCGGGGCTCGCGGGGCGCTTGGTGTTCACGTGGTCTGACCGCCTCGCAGTAACTACACGGAACGTTTATTTTGTTCTCAGNTAAGTTATCTTCGGTCTTATTAAACTTTGGTTGTTGTTTTTGCTCGATCTTCAACACAATGTTTTATCGTATCTAAACCAATCCAATTAGACAAATTAAAAGAAACCACTTGTTACTATCAAGTCGGATTTATCGTCCTGTCACGGTCGCCACTTCAAAACTTTGATTTTTTGTATCAATCATTGATGAACGCCCGATTATTTAACGTTTACCGAGTTGTACCAGTACTTCGTTTCCAAAAATCAGGATCTTTGTTAATTTGCATCAAATTGTTCTTGATTTAGAATACGCGCCTCCCCCCCGAATGGGTTCCCACCTTGTAGTAGCTCCGAGGCGGGGGCTCGGGGCTCGCGGGGCGCTTGGTGTTCACGTGGTCTGACCGCCTCGCAGTAACTACACGGAACGTTTATTTTGTTCTCAGCGTGTGCTGGTGTGGCCGGGCATTGATCGTCAGCTTGTGCTGGCAAATCTGTCTGATTGTATCGCCACAATGGAAGTGTAATCTGACAGGACAACTATGGACTACAGAAGGTGAGCATCCGATGTCCTCGGGGGCTTTGGGCTTCCGCGCCGGAGCGGGTGGCGGGGCTTAAGGTTGCGGGCGGTGGTCACCCGCTCAGGGGTGGGCCCGTCTGCGACCAACTAAGAGGAACCCCCCAAGTTAAGGTGTGAGCGATCGTGCCGAGAGCTGCGTGGCGCAAGGGGAGTTGCGTCGTAAACGGTGCTTCCTGGATACCGGGCGAAATCCAAGAGTACGGAGCCAAGCCCCAGCCATTCGCGGCTCTGGTTGGATGAGACCACGCGACCGCGATACTCGTGGGAACATATATGGACACTGAAAACGAAAATAAAATCACCCCCAAATCAGTCCCCAAAAGCGAAGCCTCCTCTGGAGGTAAACGCCCAGGGGAATCTTGCAGTGCGGAAGCGGGCTCAGAAGCCCCAAAATACCGCATAAGATATAGCGGGGCCGCTAGGCGCCGTTATAATAAACAAATGCAAGCCGGGGAGAGTGGGGCCAATAAGGTCTTCTCTACCCCCGCAGCCTCCTACTCAAAAGGTGGGGCTGGAGGTGGCGCGGCAAAGCGAACCAGGCCGAAGCACGCTACTCCTAGCCTCTCAGAAAATTGCCAGGGCAAGAGACCCAAAAATGAAGGGTCGTATGCACAGGCGACAAAAGGTCTTGTCAGGATGGCCCTCGTACTGAAGACTACTTTGACAAGAAAATGGGAGCCGGTGAGGTGGTTGAGATCAGAAAAATGGTCAGGTCTGTCATCCTCGGCATGTCTGAGAATGACAAAGCCCCCACTTTTACTGGTTTCTGGGAGAGGGATGCCGCACTCATGGTTGTGTGCGCCAACATAGAGTCGGCGGAGTGGCTTAAGGCCCATTCCTCCGATTTAAAAGTCAGGGGAACTCCTGTGTGTGTGCTGCCGGTTGGTGAGCTACCTAAGCGTCATCGGGTGGTAGTGCATGTAGAGAAGCCTGAAGTAGGGGTTGAGGATGCTTTCAAGCTCCTTAACCAGCAAAACACAGGGCTGGCAACCAGCGATTGGGTCGTCACCAGGGGGACGTATAAAAGGGATGCTACAAACGCCAACTTCTCCTGTTTGGTTGGCGACG